GAAACCGAGCTGTGGGCAGGGCTGTGCTCCCTCTAAAAACTCTAGAGGAGGATATTTCCTTGCCTTTTTCTAGCTCTGGGTAGACGTCAGCAATTCTTGGTCTTCTTTGACTTGCAGACGCATCACTTCAACCTCTGCCTCCATCTTCACATGACCTTCTCTTCTGGGTGTCTGTTTTTCCTCTCGTTAAAAGGACCTTGGTTACTGGATTAAGGGCTCACCCTAAACCAGAATGATCTCCTCTCAACATCTTTAACGTAATTACTTCAGCAAAGACCCATTTTCCAAATAAGGTCACATTCACAGGTAGTGGGGGTTAGGACTTAGACACATCTTTTGGGGGACCACTGTTCACCCCACTACAGACACACATACAGAAAGGTCCACAGATCCTAAGTGGGCAGTTCAATGAACTTCTGCACATGGAACGTGCCCGTATAACCATCACCTAGAAGAACATGGGAACCGTAGTCTTCACGGATGCCTCCTCTGGACATCCCCACCTCTTCTCCCCAGAGTCAGCCTCCATCCTGACCTCTGTCGCCATCCACCAGCTTTGCTCAGGTCTGAACTTCATGTAGATGGAATGCTGTGTGCCTGGCTCGGGGGGCACACCAGCTCTCCACCTTCAGTTTCTTCTAGCAGTCTACCTAGGAAACCAAGAGATCCACCTAGTAGCTGAAGAGGTAACAAGAGAAGTTAATAAAATAACCAGACTCACCAACAGTACACCAAAGTAAGCAACTTGTCTCTTGAGAAGCATTTAAACAGCTAAAATAGAGTTTCAAAAAACGTATTTATAATAGCACCCACAAAATAGAAAGCTAAGACTATCTTTAATAGTAAATATAAAGGACCAAATAAATACAACTAAAACAAGCTGAAAAATATTTTTTTTTTCTGAAGAGACACCTATGTGTTGGAATGGAAAATTCTATGTTTTAGAGTGAATAACTTTCCCAAATGAAACTGAGAGAGTAAACAAGTGGAGATACTTATGAAAATATTCTACAGGAAGAGAGATGAAGGGCAACTCGCTCTGGCAGATTTTATGCCGTGTGGTGAATCTAAAACAAGTGTTTCTGACCATCGCTGGTACAAAAGGAAGCGGCAGATCAACCAATGGACAGTGAACAGCAGAAACTGATCAGTATTTAACACGTTAGATGGGGTGTCACTCATTAATGGGAAATAAAAGATTTCTCCATCAAGGATGACACAATAATTGGCAAGATATTTGGGGAAAATATCCGCTTCTAATTTTACCACACACTAAAACAAACTGCTGATTTAGCAAAGCTCAGTTATTTTTAAAAATAGGAAAGAAGAAAAAAAAAAAGGAGAGAGAATAACTCTTTGGTTTCTGGATGGAATAAGGACTTTCTAAGTTTAAAACCGATGGAAGGCATTAAAAGCAGAACATGGATTTGAATTCACATAAAACTCTTGTCAAACATCACAAATAAATGAAAGCCAAATTATAGGCTGAAAAAATATCTTTTTCTGCAATAAACTAGAGCGAGAAGGGATTTAAAATGTTGATAATTAAAGAGTTCATAAGAATCAAGGAGAAAAGCTGGAATATTCCACTAAGTAAATGGGCAAAGAAAGAGCTTAGAAAATACAGAAGGATGAAATGCAAGAACCTTACAACAAATGACAGTATGGTCAATCTTACTAAGAATCAAAGAAAAGCAAAATTGAAGAAAGAGACCAATTTTTGCCTCTTGACCTAATAATTAATACTAGAGTTTGTGAAGATGTGGTGGATAAGCTGTGTATTTTTTAATCTAACGATGAGAGAGTAAATTTTTACAATCTTTTTGAAAATCAATTTAGCAGTTTATGCCAAAAGCTTAAAACATTTTAATATACTTTAAGCGGAAAAAAATCACAAGGGTTTAAACTGTGTCTATATAATAAATGTAAAGTAAATAAAAGTACTATAGAAAATGAAGAACGTATACCCACAACTTGCAACATTACACCCTCGGTATTTGGTGTTCTCTCCTTTATAAACTTTTCTAATTTCCAAATGACTTTTATTTTCAACAAAAAGAAATTAGTAAAACAAACACACAGAAAATGCTAAGTACATTCCATGTACCATCCCAAAGGAACCCATCCTGCCACATGGTATCAGGATCAACGGCAGTAAGATACAAACAATGGGAAACAGACGAACATATCTTCTGGCTCTTAATAAATTGAGTGACAGCACATTAAGCCAATCAATAGGTAGTTATTTGGTGATCTCCAAGTAAATGACATCTCCCACTAAACGGAATTCACTCTACTTCATTGAGCAGATGAGGTCATGTTTAGACTAAAAGGTTAATGAGCAGGACTTTTTCAGGCAGAAAAGCAAGAGGAGGACCCTGTTCCAAGAAGGACCATGTGCCAAGACAGGAAACCTGAGCCAGCCGTGTGGGCGGGAAAGAGGTGGATGAATGATGATATGGACAGGAAGGAAGGGGCTGGACCAGTAACCGCTGCGGAGGCGTTTAGAACTGGTCCGGTACAGAGGGGGCAGGAGTGATGGAACACTGGATAGATTTCAGGAACAAACATCACATAATCATGTATGTATCGAAAGAGGAATCTGTTGGAAAGACCAGCAGCGCAGAGAATAACCTGGGGGGGATGGGAGAAAGACTGTACAGAGGCCGATGGATACAGAAGCTTCTACAAGGGTCTTTCTGGGAAGTGATGGAATCCTAAACAAGGGCAATTACTGTGGAGATGAAATGGGACTGATCGGAATGTCAGTTCCCTAAAGGGCTTTTTTGGTTCCTTCTGTTTTCCTAATCCCTAGAAAAATAATTGGCCAATAGCAGACAACCAATAAATATTTGTTGAATGAGTGAATCAGTAAAAAGATGCAAGAGATTTAGAATGTAATACCAGAAGGATCTTGGCCAGTTCCTGGATGCAAGAAACTAATGGTGAAGCACTTTAGAAAAGACACAGTGAAACAATAATACCTCAAAGCCACCTTCTCTCAATAAGTAAATTCATCCAATGTTGCCTCCTAAGTTTCCTTAGATATTCCTGTATTGTAGTAAATTTGGTTTAATTCTACAGGCTACCAAGTATTTTTAAGGCCTACTTAATATTTTTCTTATAAATGGGAACATGCTCACTCTCTGGACGTAAACTCCTTGCTAAGATTAGTACAAAAGTATTTTCACCCTGTCTGGTTATTTTATAATATAATTTTAGGGTTTTTTTTTTTAATGCAAAAGTTTTCCATTTTTATATTTTCAAAAATGACAATACGTCTCTGAGAATTCTTCAAAACTGAATCATTGCATCAATGTGAGTTTCCTGGTTGTGAGGTTACACTGTATTATCAAAATGTTACCACTGGGGGAAACCATCGAGGGTTTATAGGATCTCCCTGTATTATTTCTTACAACTGCAGGTGAATTTACAATGACCTCAAAAGAGACCACTAAAAAACCTCCTGAATGAGTCATCTTCCTCAGTGAGGACCTTTTACATGGTAATATCAAAAGGAGGTCTAGCATTGACAGACGGCCCTGGGACCGGTTCATCATCCGCATTTCCTTTATAGATGAGCCCAGAAGAGAAGATTGTTGCTCCAGTGTTGTCCTGGCAGCTTGTCTCTTTTCAGTTGCAGTTCCAGCAAAGTAAGCACACCTCTTACTCGCAGCCTCCGAGTGGCGAGATTGTCGCCATGGTTATTCTCTCCCCTGCTCTGAGCTTTCTCACTTCCTCTCCGGATGTGGCTTGTTCTGTCTGTAGAGAGTTTGCCATCATTTCGAAGGAGCAACAAAGGAACCATTTCTGAGTGCTCTGTGCACCGACGTGGTACGAGGTTGCTTAGTTGAGAGAAGTCAGTCTAGACGTCGTGGAGAGGGCTCTGGTTTAATCAGCGAGGTCCCCTGACCGCTGTCGACAGCTGCGGAGGCACAGCCCTGGCTGTGTGGATGGTGGAAACAGCTCCCTGGGCTTGTGGTCTAGTGAGGTGGGGGTGGGGGAGGGCAGGGAGCTGGTGGGGCAGAGAGAGATCTCACCCAAGGCTCTTCCTCTCCCTCGCTCTCCTCTTCTTGACTCTGCCAAGGCATCTCTAGTCTCAAGGCATCCTGTAGCACCTATGGGTGGCCCTGGCCCCCAGGCTTCTTCCATCCCCCGGCATCCGACCCAGGGGTGGCACTCTACACATGCTGGCTGGCTGGATCTGGTTTCCTGGTGCCCTATGCACATGCTTTCTATCTCTGTTGCAGCCACCCGTCCCTCTTTGGAACCAATGCACGGCCTCCCAAACTGGTGTCCCTGAGTCCTTTGGTTCTTCTCCAATTCATTCTCCATAGGAAGCCAGAGTGAGCTCTCCCTAACATCACTCCCTTGCTTAACGCCTTTGTGACTCTCGAGGACCTCAGGATAAAATCAAAATGTGGCATACGTGGCCCTTCCTGACCTGGCCACGCATGCCCGCCCAGCCTCTTGGATCCTCCCCCTGCTGGCCGCCCTCCAGTTCTGTGTGCTAGGCATACAGGTCACCCCAACTAAAGGGCCCCCATGGAGCAGCCAGGGGTTCATAATCGGGAGCACTTGGCTTGGCGTCCTTGCTGGTGTCTTAGGAGTTGGGGACGGTGTCCTCACTCTGGCTCCACTTCCTCCTAAGGTGTGTGGGGCACCATATCTGCTGGATGGCGGAGTACCAGGTTTCAGAGTTGACCTTAAGCCGTCACCGTTGGGAAGGGGTAGGGGAGGCAGCTCACACCAAGAGGCCACCCACCCAAAAGATCTTTGCCTCCTGACCCAGTAAACCTGAAATTTCCTTGACAAGGACAAACATAGCCACTTACATGACCCCAGCACAGATTTCTAGCCATAACATCCAGCAGCCCTCTCCGTGGGCTCTCTGATTCAGTCCAGCTGGGCTCTCTAGAACCTCCCCAAACCTCTCTCCACTCCTCCCTGCCGGTGACTAGGCTGAACCCACCTCCAGCAGTTGCAGCATGAAGGCACGAGCCAGTAGGGTGTAAGTGCCTGTTACTGGGGCCTTCAGGATGAGCTTCCTGTGATGGTAGGAGGAGGAAGCTAGAATAAGGCCAACAGCAACAGCCTTTGGAGAAGGACGGAGCTGGGATCCCGAATCCCGAGGCTAGGCACAGGCACACAGCTGGCGACGTCAAGGACACTGGCCAGAACCCATTGGTACAGGTGGACTAAGGTAGGTTTGAGATATTCTAGAACCAGGTAAATAGTACCGTTGGGCATTTGGGTAATTGATCTCAGAAATCAACCAGTCTAGCCCCTCACTTTACAGTTGAAGAAACCGAGGCTGAGAGATTCTAAGGCCTTTCTCATCTCATAGCTGGAAGAGGTGAGGCCATGACTCAGATCCTGGCCCTTGTGTGAACAAGCCAGGGCCGACATGCCTGGACCCCAGCTTGATCGCTGCAAGGGAGCAGGGCTGCCGGTTGTGGCTGTTCAGGCCTTGCCTCGTTCCTTGTCGACTATAGGATGAACAGCACCACCTAGGGGTGTGCAGTGCCCAGACTGCACAACTGTACAGAGAGGCTCTGAGCCAGAGTCAGGGCAAAGGTCAATAGTGACAGGGAGGTGGCATTGCTTGGGCTGGGTTGGTCATGAAAATGAAAGCAGGAGGGTGACCCAGAGCGTAGACGGCAGACGGCAGGGCCTTTCCACAGAGAGGAGGGTTCCTTCAGCATTTAGGCCTGAAGGAAGGTCTGGCTCAAGACGCTGATCACTGAAGCCATGAGCACCTGGGCCGTGGACCCAGGGTCCTCTCTCCTCAACTGCGGGCAGCCCCAGACCCAGGCCCAGTGGTCAAACTGAGTCACGTGCGGAGTCCAGCAGGCCTTTGCAGTAATCAGGCCCCAGAGCCCACAGAGCAGGAGGAGGACACGGGTGGGGGTCACAGTCCACACAAGCAGGCTCTCGCCAAGGCATCTGGAGGAGAAAGTTTGGATAAAGCTGGCTGGCATCCACAGGGAGTTTAACACCCTTAAAGAAACACTGAAGAATAATAACCCCTAGCGTTCTCAGATCTTTTTTCAGGTTCCAATCATTTGTGTAGAATTGCTTTATTTGGCCCCATAGGCAGCCAGTGATGACGATCTTGTTCCCCGAGTGGATTTCTCGGATTACAGGAAAGGACAAGAAGAGAACTTGAACCAGAGTCTCCGAAGTTTTGGATGCCCCGCCCTGCACCACAGCGCCCCCTTCTGGCCAGAGGGGAAACTTCCGGCGGAGGCCCAGCTGCACGGAGCTCGGAGCCTGATGGAGGCAGCAGGTGCGTGTGTGGGGAGGCAGTGCTTGACTGAGGTGATGTGGGTGAGGGCGGCGTAAGTGGGGCAAAAGTGAAACAAGACCTTCTAACAGGTGGATCCTGACCATGGAGACAGAGACCTGTGCGTCTGAATCTCTGGACACCATTCGGCCCCCAGGCGGCTGCTCCCTGTGCGTCTCTGTGTTTTCTACAGGTCGGTGCCCCTGCAGAATACTTCTGCTCCTTTTCCAACAGGTGAACCTTTTTGTGTTTAAACGTCCTTCTCCCCGGCGGGTCCCAGCCACCAACCCCGGCCCACTGCCCTATGTTCTATGTTTCTTCAGGCCTTTATTTAGTCTATATTTCATACAGGATTCATCGTTGACTGTTTTATGATTTTTCTTTTTATTAAAAGAGTATGTTCACTTTGCAGGTAACGTGGAGAATGCAGAAAAACAGAGAAGCAAAAATAAAACTCACCTGCAAGCCAGCCCCCAAGATATAAATCGCATTCGTGTTTGCAGCACCTCCTTCTGAATTTTGAGTATATCGTTGGATTTATACTTGACTGTAACATTACATTCTATTTTGTTGCTTGACGTTGCATTACGGGTGTGTTATGGAATGTCTTCCAAACACTCTTTTTAATGGGCTTATCTCAGTCTGGCCTGTGGCTGGTCATCCATCTATAATTTCTATAGCCGTTCTCCCTTGCTGGACATTGGATTGTTTTGAAGTTTACTCTTTTGAAAAAGGAACAAGGAAAAGCTTGTACGTGAATCTTTTCCTTGGGGTGGAGTCCTGACAGTGAAATCACCAGGCAAAGGATCCAAAAAGGTTTTTTTTTTTTTAGGAAGATTAACCCTGAGCTGACATCTGCCAATCCTCCTCTTTTTGCTGAGAAAGACTGGCCCTGAGCTAACATCTGTGCCCATCTTCCTCTACTTTATATGCGGGACGCCTGCCACAGCATGGCTTGATAAGCAGTGCCATGTCCGCACCCGGGATCTGAACCGGCGAACCCTGGGCCACCAAAGCGGAACGTGCGCACTTAACCACTGTGCCACCAGGCCGGCCCCCCGAACAGTTTTAAAGCTCCTACAGTGTGGCCCAGCTGTGCCATGGGCTGGTGGGAGCGTGTCTGTCTGCTTCTCTCGCTCCCCCTGGAACAGGTGGCCAGGTGGATGCTGTCTTGCATCTTTGTTTCAATGTGCGTTTGTCTGATTATCAGTCAAGTTGGGCATCTTCCGGTGCATGATGGTGGAAATCTCTGAAGGGGCCGGATCAACAGCAGTGCTTTCCCTGCCCTCAGCCCCAACGATTCAGAAGTGAGACCAAAGAGGGATGGAGGGGCTGAAAGATCGCCTCTCTGCTTAGTGCAGAGGAAGGTGGAGGAAGCGGCTTCACGGGAGAGCAAAACGGACTGTGAACCGCAGAAAGAAGTCCGGACACGCCCTCTCCACACCCCCGGGTGGCGCAGGCTGGACGGACGGCTGGACAGACAGCAGTGACAGACCCTCCCGGCCGTGGATGCTGGCTGGTGAGTGGGCAGGAAGGGGCAGAGGATTACCCTCTGCAGGCATCTGGCTCCCAAAAGGAAAAAGGGGGCAGCTGAGGGAGCACCCCAAGTCTGCTTTTCCGAACCATCTTCTCTTCAGGGAGGGGCGGGAAGGGGCTGCAGAGGGATCAGTGGATCTGGAGACAATTGCCCCAATTAGGATGTTCGGAGGGTGGCAATGAGGCACTTCTCTGTTGCTTTTATCAGCCAAGTATATTTTCTTCTATCAGTTTTTTTTCTTTTTGCATTTTTTTTTTCTGTTGTGATTGACACACACAAGTGCTTTCCTGAGTCATTTTTTTCCTTTGTCTTTTTCTCCTATATGAAATGTTTTTGAACAAAATGAAAGTTTTAAATTATCATTTAGCCAAATCTTCCATATTTTGCATGCCATTGGAGTCCCGGGAATCGGCCACCATCATCATCTTCGTCGTATTTGAGCGAGTTCTCTGTGCTGGGCGTTCTGCCAAGACCTGTGAGCAGATTATCTGGTAAGATCTTCCCAGAAGCCCCTGGAGGGAAGGAATAATTCTCCAAACCGAGGTTTGTCAGGTGCCGTGCGCGGCCAATAGCGCAGACGTGGCAGGGCCCGGGTGGTCTGACTCCATCGCAGTGTCCTCAAAGGCCGTGTCACCCCAGAGTCAGCAATTGTGGCTCAGGGCTCCCTTTGTAAAGCCAAGCAGTTGGGAAATAAAAACGCTTATTTATCTAGGCTCCTAATTGCTATGCCAGGAAGTGAGCCTGTTATTGCTGATAATTTTTGTTGGAATGATAAGATTCCAGCTTTGGAATGGTGAAAAGCTACTGTGACTCATTTTAATGCTCTGTTTTAGAAACATCAAAGCTCCCACAGATTTATCTGTCTGCTAGAGACTCAGCTGTTCCCAGAAAGTGTTCTCCTACTTGATACAATGGTGGGCCCCTTTTCTTTCCGTTTGATTGTTTTTTTCACTTACGTAAGTAAATTTGTTTTTTAAAGTATGCTTTTTGGTGAGGAAGATTGGCCCTGAGCTAACCTCTGTTGCCAATCTTCCTCTTTTTTTTTCTCCCCAAAGCCCCAGTACATAGTTTTATATCCTAGTTGTAAGTCGTTCTAGTTCTTCTGTGTGGGATGGCAGCACAGCACGGCTTGATGAGTGGCGTGTAGGTCCATGCCCAGGATCCAAAGCGATGAGCCCTGGGCCACCGAAGCGGAGTGCACAAACTTAACCACTCGGCCCTGGGGCCCAGCCCCAAAGTAGGTAAATTGTATTCATTGAAATTATTCAAAAACTGTAGTAATGTATTTAAAAAATAGTTAATAGCCAGATATTTCCTCCTCTCATCAACCTTTTAAAATAATAATAAATACTTAAATAATAAATAACTGGAATAACATTACTTAAATAATTAATACTTCAATAATAAGTGCCACCATTCACGGAGTGCTTACGATGGGCCAGGAATATTGCTGAATTCATTTAATCCATGAAAGGACACTGAGTCAGACGCTATTCTTATCCTTGTGTCACGGGGAGGAAACCGAGGCATAGAGAAGTTAGTAAGTTGCTCAAGGTCCCACAGCTGGTATGTACCAGAACTGGGATTTCAACATTAATGTCTGGCTCCCAAGCCCATAGTCTTCACTGCTCTACTCTGCTAATCCTTTCAGGCAAAAATTATGGCTACATTGATGCCCTTTGCTTAAGTAAACATGGATGAACATATGTAGGTCAGTCTACCATCTTTTCCTTCTTTTCTTTCCTCTTCCTTTTTTTCTTTATAGCAAAATTACTTGTTTGACTAGACAATATATTCAGATATATTTCCAGATATAAACATAGAGAATTGAGTGAATCTTTTACAATAGTTGTCTTATAAGCTGCGGTTGAATATACTATATTGAACCATTTCGCAACTCATAGGCATTTGGGTTGTTTCCATTTGTTTTTTCACTTGAAATAAGTGCTGGAATAAATATGCATATGCACAAAATACTATAGACTGTGCTTCTTATATCAATAGAATGGATTATTAACATTGAGATGGCTGCATCAAAAAGCTTACATATTTATAATTTTAACACATCATCCCATGTGGCCATAGGCTAATTCTACCAAACTTTTAAGAGACAGATTATTTTAATTTTTTATAAGCTCTGTCAGGCCACAGAAGAAGAGGAATTGCTTCCAAACGCATTCTGTGAAGTCATTGTAACCTTGATACTAATACAAGTCCAACACCTGGAAGAAGAGGAATATTCGGGCCTGTGTAACTCCTGCACGTAGTTACAAAATGTTGAGCAATGAAATGTGTATGAAGATGATGCAACACAATGAATTTGCATTTATACCAGTTGTGCAAGGATTGTTTGATGTGATAAAAGTCACAAATATAATTTACTGCATTAACCAGTCAAAGAGAGGGGGCCCAGCCCAGTGGCGTAGTGGTTAAGTTCGTGCACTCTGCTTCAGCAGCCTGGGGTTCACAGGTTCAGATCCTGGGCACGGACCTACACACCGCTCATCGAGCCGTGCTGTGGCGGGGTCCCACATCCCACATACAAAATAGAGGAAGATTGGCACAGACGTTAGCCTGGTGACAATCTTCCTCACCAAAATAAATAAATAATCAAAGAGAAAAACAATATGATAATCGCAGTAAATTCAGAAAAAATGTGATGAAAGGAGATACTCAATCATCACTGTTTTTTAAAAGTCAGATTTTTGGAACAGAGAGGATTTCCTTGATGTGGTAAAGTGTATCTATGAAAAATACCAACCAAATACCTTCCTAGATGGAGAAATATTAAAAGCATTCTCTTTAAATTAAAAAAATGAGTCCAGGACGCCCTATGACCACTTCTATTTAACACTGTGTTCAAGTTCCCAGACAATGCAGGATGACAAAAATAATAACAGTGATAAATCGAGACGTTAAAAATAACTAATTAATTACAAGTAGGCTATTCATGAGCCAATGATGAAAATATCTCATGAACCAAGGATTATGATTAATTTAAATCTGTGCACCTGAGATCCAAAGAAAAAGGCGAACAATTAAATAAACTCTCATTTATTTTACAAAAAAATTATACAATGCCACCAAGGTGTGTGTAAAAATGACTTTTTTTTTCTCATCACATCCTCATCACCATTGGCTGTCATCAGTGTTTTCAATTTTGGTGAATCTGTTGAACACTAGGCTCTCATACTCTTCTGATCCGTATTCTCCTAACTAGTGTGGGACTGAGCATCGTCCATGCTCATGGCCGTCTACGTCCCCTCTTGTTTTTGTGCTAGTCAGTCACCTTCACCTCTCAGCCTTACGTTTTGCCCTTCTCCCCTCTGCTCTGTGTCGCTGAGGCTGGGATTTTGGGAAGTCGCCTTCCCAGCTCCTTGCCAACCAGCTTTCTGTTGGGTTTAGCCATTGGGAGATGCTGGCAGCGGATGAGGAAGGAGGAAGAGAGAAGCTACCGGCAGCTGGCTGCAGACATGCACCAGAGTTGGCAGGTGCTGGGGTTGCCGAGCTGGTGGCAAGGATGGGGTGATCCCAGAAACCAGCAGCCCAGGCGCGGGCAGTAGATATTTCCCTCTCTGATCCAGGCAGCACCCCTGGTGGGTCTAGAATCCACCAATCAATGTTTCAAACAGCACTGGAGTGGGAGCCAGTCCTGGCTTCAGCCTCCCACCCCTGGGCATCACTCCATCTCTCTTTTTTCTGCATCTTTTCCTTCCCCCGCAGCGTGTCTTCTTCGTTCTTCCAGCCCTTCCAATAACTTTGTAACCTTTGTAACCGTGTGACATTCCCTCATTAAAGAAAGCATTCTTTCTGTGTGGTTGTTAACTCATCTGCCATATGTCTTGCAAACATTTTCTTCTGGTCCATTTGTGTGTGTTGATCTTGTTTATGGTATATTTTTCGAAGAGTTGTGTCCAATATCCTGTTTGCCTTATGATTTCAAAGTCTGGGGGTATTAATATCTGTCACCTAGCCTCCAGTGTCTGGAGACAGCACTGTGCAGATTTCTCTAGGAATTGAATGTCAGAATTTCTGACGCCCACTCGGATGTTGTTCTTTTGACCCATCTGAGTCCTAAAGGTCGAATTGGTATTTCTTGTTCCTCAGTAGTTGGATGCGCTGTCTGCCTCACTCTCAAGCCTATTACTGGTTATAAAAATAATGCAAAATATAAAACCAACACAAGTAAAAGGATGTGAACGTTGAAATTATGACCGAGGCACCAAGGTATCATATATGCTGACTTACAAAGTTCAGTGCTAGACCAAAATACAGAATAATCCAGCATACTCAAGGTGTGAGAAACAGCTCCACGGCTTCTGGGACCAACATCCAAATCAAAGAGTGTGGAGAGGGGTCAGGCTGTGTGTGAAGCAGGTTTTGGAGAAAGCCCTACTGGGAGCTTCGTTTCTCCCTCCCCTCAAGAGAGAGGAAGTTTGGGGAAGGACCTGAGGCTCACCTCAAGAAGACCGAGGGGGTTCAACCGGACCAGCCATGGACCCTAATATGAGCCCACTGCAGTTGGGGGACCCAGTGGACTGTGGGCCTGGTTCCCTCCCAGGACATCTAGATGGCCAGCGACAGCCTGCCTTGCTGCCCTGGCTGAGACTCTCAGAGTTGCTGGTGCAGTGGGGTCCGCCTGATTCTCAGATTGGGTAGAAGCCAGGAATGTGGAGCTGTTTCCATGGATCAAGGGTGGCCTCGGTTGACCTTGAGCCAGAACCAGAATGAGTCCTGCATAATGGGGGCTACCAGTGGGGTAAAGAGACCACAGCAGAAGGAATCTGGGGAGACACCCACTTCCTGGATGCAGGTGACCTCCCAAAAGAGAGGTGTGTCCTCCTAGGTCAAGGGAACTCAGGAGAGACATCCGAGAGAGAGCCAGACTTAAATACGTCCCAGGCACAGAGGACACAGGCAGCCTGCGGCAGCCCAGGAGACGCACCGGAACTCGCCTGGATAGGTGAGGGGAGATCGTCTCTAAATCAAGGTGTTTGGGCTATTCCAGTGCCTAGTTTCTCTAAATTCTGAATTAAGACTATACTTTGTGACTAAAGGCGGCCACAGGGTTGTCTTCACAGAAGAGTGAGCATCTAACACACAGGTTTTTATTCACAAGCAAAGGAAAAGCTTCCCCCACCCGCTGGCTATTGAAGGGGAGGGGAGACAAGAATAAAGACGGACTGTGATTACTGTCCCATGGGAGCTTATATAAAGCAACAGCCATAGGCACACAAGTCAATATCTTATTACTGAGCTCAAAATCCAGGCAGAAAATATTAAGAAGACCATTCCATTCACAGTAGCTACAGAAGCAGAATCATTAGGAAAAAGGTAAATAAGAAATGTATAAGACTTGGATGAAGAAAACTGCATATGAACTCTGCTGATGGGGATTCAAAGAAAAACCTGATAAAAAGAGAGATCAGAAATCCAGCATTATAAAAAAAGTTAATTAGTCTCATATCATCTAGGTTAGATGTGAAACAATCGGTAGCCCCACAGAATTTTGGAAACTTGACCAAATAATAGTAGGTTTTCTTTGTAGGAAAAATATGTGTAGAATAGCCAGGACATTTCTGAAAAAGAAAATTAAAGAGAAATAGGTTTCTTAGCAGATCATAGCATGAATTATGAAGTTAAGATCCATTCATTCATTCTGCACAATATATTGAGCACCTTCTCTGAGCGAGGTGCTGTTGGAGAGGTGGGTGACTTCCAGGCAGAAGAGGGAAATATCCACGAGCGGTTCTCCAGTCTGTCTGCTGCCCTGCGTGGCGACTGCCCCTCTAGGCACCTGCTCCAAGTGAGGCAGCTGTGTAACAGTGGAGCCGATGTCAGTCTAGCCCTCCGCCACCTGGGTCATGAGGAACATCCCAGTGAGCAAGGTGAGGGTTGCATTGTCTTTTCAGACTTGACCTCCAAGTTGTGCATCACTTTGACCACATCCTGTAGCTGCAAGTGAATCAGACCCCAGCCCGCACTCAAGGGGGAGGGAAATTAGGCTCCACGTGGGACAGAGGAGTGGCTGGGGTCTAGCAGACCCTGGGAGAGGGAGGCGATGCTGCAGCCGGCTTTGGAAATTACGGTCTTCCACAGAGAAGGTGTCCGTCCTTTTCTGGGAGCCTGGTTTCAGTTGAAATGCAGAGGTTGGGCAAGGAAGTGCTCCTGAGGGCTCAGCAGAAAGTGGAGAGGGAGAGCAGGGGGAGGTGGACTTAGCTGGAAGGACGTCAAACAGGGCTGGGACCTAGAGCGTGAAATTTAAAGGCGTGCAACGGAGCACCTCCCTGAATCTGGCACCCTGGGTGCCACCCCACCTCGCCCTAGTCCTGGTGCCAAAGCAGGAGCAAGAAGAAACTTACGTATGAGCGCAAGTGAGCCCAAGGTCACTCCAGGGACAGGGCAGCTGAGAGCACCATGGCACGCAGTGTCCTTGGGCTCCTGGTCAGTGGCCTTAAGGAGACTCACGGTCAATAACCCTTAGTCAAGAGCCAAGCAAACTATTGATGAAGGAGATTCCGACACTTTGAAGGCATATCCTCCCAGGTGCCTAGGAGAGAGAGGGTATTAGCAAGCCCCATAAAGATCCATTTCTTAATAAAATCAACATTGGTCCATGGAGGTTGGAGATCTTAAGTTAATAAAGAGGAATTGGAGAGGCCCTGGGAATGTTCAGAACACCACATCCCAGGCTATATCAGGTGTGTCACATCTTTCCTGCTTTGTCACATGGCTTGTGAACTGACTCCACTCAATGAAGGGAGACAGGCTGGGGACACCAGTGAAAGAAGGGACATCCTATGCTCTGCCAGACAAAGTCCCAGTGATGAAAAACCCTGGTTCCTCCACTAACCTCTCTGACTCATTGCTGTTACTGTCTGGGGAGCAAGGTCTAGTTTTAATTATCATTTTAAAATTCAGGCTTTAGATTATTCCTCTCCCATATTCCTGATGCTGGTGAAGCCTGAAGAACTAATGATTATGGTAAGGATAAAATCTATCCCATGTGTAGAACGCTCTAGTGTTTAAAACAAATTCACATTATTTGTTTGATCCTTAAAACAAGCTGGTAAGGGATGCAAGACAGGATTTCGCATGGCCCCCTGGCAGGTGATCTCTCCAAGGCTTCCCGCCTGGTTGGTTCAAGACTTGCTGGTTGGGACAAGAACTCACCCACTGACTCCAGGTTGGGTGGTCTTCCAGCCTTAAAAACATCCTCAGTTCTTTCCTCTGCACAAAATCCAATTCCTCAATCTTCACTTCTTTCGCTTCGTTTTCTGTCATTAAAAGAACTTCTGGAAAGAAAAGGCAGCAGTCGTCTTCTTTGCTTTCCATTCTTGACTCGTCTGCAACCTACCTTTGGTTTTCACCAAAGGGCAACATCTGGGGACATCTGTCAACATCCAGGGAGCTGAATCTGAACAGCGGTGGCCCAGATGAGTCCTGCTCTCCTCCTCTTCCTAAAGTTCTTAAATCCTTGCCCCATTGCAGGCACCTCCCGCTCAGGGCAGCAGATTGGGGAGTAGAACCGCTGGGCTTCCCTCCCTGTTGAATTTCCCAGGCACACTGTCTTACGTTGTCTACTGGCTCCGCTAGAATAGAATTCTCTGGAAGTTGTTCCACCTCTTAACCTCCAGAGCAGAGGCAGTCATGGACCTGTGTCCCCTACAGTCTTCTGGGAGGAGAGAGGAAAGGACAGCCCTCAGGAGGAGGTGGCAGCAACAGCCCTTCTTCCAGAACTGAATTCCCCCAGGACCCCACTGTTGTGGCCGACCGAGTTAGACTTCTTTAAAAGCCTGGTGGGTGGGCTCCCCAGGCGGCATCCCATTTCAGGATGTGAGCCGTTTGGAAACCTTTGCTCTCAGCTGTGCGGCGGCTACACCTGGGACAGGACACTCCACCCCTGTGATACCTGCTCCATAATGGTTCATGTCTTTATTCTGTGGTCTGTTGATAACGTCAGCTCCTCGAGAGAGAAAAGACTGCACCTCCTAAAGTGCCATCTTGAGCGAAAAGAATGCACACAATGACGTGCTGAGGTAGACTGAGTAGTTGGCATGGATCCCAGCGAATCAGACCCACTCGGGATTATATTGGTTCCAGTCATCAGTCATTGCACATGTTTAAGGTAATCGCAATGAAAATGGGGATAAAAATACCAAAAAGGGGAATCTCCGAAAGGTAACTGGCAAAGGGTCTTTTTTAAAAATATCTTGAGATAATTATGGATTCACATGCAGTTGAAAGAAATGCCCTCCCCTTGTGACATCCTTCAAAACTGCAGGGTACTATTGTAGTCAGGATATTGACATCAATATAGTCCAGATACAGAGCGTTTCCATCACTATAAGGACCCCTCATGTTGCCCTTTTATAGCCACACCCACTTCCTTCTTACTCCCACCCAGTTCTTAGCCCCTGGCAGCCACTAATCTGTTTTCCATTTCTGTGATTTTATCATTTTAAGAATGTCATATAAATGGAATCATATAATATATAAGATTTTGAGATTGGCTTCTTCCACTCAGCATAATTCTCTGGAGATTTGTCCACATTGTTGTGTGGATAAATAATTCATTCCTTTTCATCGCTGAGTAGTATTCCATGGCTTGGATATACCGGAGTTTGTTTCACCATTCACTCGCTGAAGGACATTTGAGTTGCTTGCAGTTTTTTGCTATTATGAATGAAGCTGCTATGAACGTTTGTGTACAGGTTTGCATGAACACCTCCTTTCAGTTCTCTGAGATAAATGCCCAAGGGCAAAGAGCTTTTAAACCTTGATATAGTGGTTGGGGAGAAAGATGTCTTAGAG